ATACAGTCACAGTGAAAAGGAGTCCAAGGAGACCTGACAGCTAAAGAGAATTGGGTTTCCTATATATGAGACCCTGGGATTGGAAAAGGACATTATGGGAAAACTAAAGATAACTGAAAATGCTGCACACCTCCTTTACAATAATGCATCAATATCAGATTATTATGAGAAATGCATCATGCTTATATGCTTATAAGATGTTAATATGGGAGGGGTTTTCAATGGCAGAATAGCAACAGGATGCCGACTTAGGTGGAGCAAAATTAATAATTAAAAAGGGGAAAAATACACTCCTAAGATGAAGCTATGGGAAATTCATGGTGGGAAACCCAGCAAAAACAACAGAGATGGCCCAGGTCTGCACCAAAAGAGCAAATAAGAATCAAAAAAAAAAAAAAAAAAACCCCAAAAAACATAGCAGAGGCTTTGACCTGGGGAGGAGAACACCAGTCCTGTCAGACCAGGTGAGAGGGGGAAGCCGTGAACCCATGGAGTTTCAGAGAGCAGTGGGAGGGAGAGCTTGGAGAACTGCTATTGAAGTTCTACAGGAGCCCCCTAGCATAGCAGAAGCAAGGGAAAAAAATAAATAAGCAAACAAGGAGGTTGTATACCTTTCTCCCACCTGCTACAGCAGAGCTACGCAGCCAGCTGGAGAAGCCTGTTTTGTCTGTTTTTTGTCTTTTTGTTTTTTGGACACAGGCAAGAGGCTGCCACTCCTACTTCCTGTCATGCACTCAGCAATAGCAGGGGTCACTTCACCCCCTACCCAAACAGCAAAGGCCACAACAATTCAGAAGAATTCCTTCCCACTCCCTGCAAGCACTATGGCAAGGGGAAGCTTTGGGATTCCCTGCCCATGGAAATTTCATACCTGCCCACCACCATTGAGAAGTGAGCATGGCTTCAGTGGGTGGGGCTCTGCATACTGGCCTACAACCCACAGACCTAAAAAACAAACAAACAAACAAAAAACCACCCTGGGATCTGAGTCTCAGACAGAGTGTGGCTAGGCCTTGGACACCAGAATGCTTCCTCACACCCTCGAGCTTATCCTTTACCTATAGCCGCTCATAATGGAGGGAACTGTGCTCACAGGACAGACTTCACAGTTTAAAGGTGCAGTTCATTAAGCAGTGTGAATGAATGCTGAACACACCAGGGACTAACAGCAGGGCATCCCACTGCTGTGAGAAGGGTGGATCAACCAACAGAGACCACCCTCTTCCATCCAGATAACCAGAGAATTACAAAGCCCCATTGGGGCCTTACCTTGGATACTTGCTCCACTCTTGAATACTGAACAGAACACCCTGGCCACACCCAGCACACAACTCTTGGTAGTTACTGAAAGTACAGATGTCCCAGTAAGCCACAAAGACACAAACCAAAGATAAAAGCCCCAAGACAATTAAAAAAACTACACAAATGCCAAAATACAAAGGAAGAAACTTAAATAAGAATAAGGACAACACTAAGAGCCCCCAAAGGAACACTACAACACTTCAGTAGTAGAAGGTGAAGATGAAGAGATTGAGGATATGCCAGAAATGGAATTCAGAAAACTAATCATTAATTACATAGAAACAATCAAAAGCAAATTAACAAACTAAATGAAAAATTTTCCCATGAAATTGAGATAATAAAGAGAAATCAGAATGGAACACTAGAAATGAAAAATTTAATAGATCAAATAAAAAATGTGGTAGAAAGTCTTAACAGTAGGGTAGGTGATGCAGAAAAAGAACACCTGAACACAACACAAATCTATGGATTTTACAGTCAGACCAAAAAAAAAAAAAAAAAAAAGAATAAGAAGAAATTAGAAAACTAAAAAACATTGTTGAAGATATACAAGATACTATCAAATGACCCGACATTTAGGTCCTAGGAGTTCTTGAAGGTGTGGAAAAAGAGAAAGGATTAGAAGGCCTTTTAAATGAAATAATAATAGAAAACTTCCCCCACTTGGGAAAAAGAAAGGGACATCCAAATACAAGAAGCAAGTAGAACTGCCAATAGACATGATCAGAAAAGATCTTCATCATGACACATTATAACAAAACTCTCCACGGTAAAACATAAAGAAAAGATTCTAAAACGTGCATGAGAGAAATGCCAGATCACATTCAGAGGAACCCAAATTCGACTCACAGCATACTTCTAATCAGAAACCCTATAGGCTAGGAGAGAATGGCAAGAAATATTCCAAGTCTTAAGAGAAAAAAACTGTTAATCCAGAATACTGTACACTGCAAAGCTCTCATTTATGAATGAAGGTGAAATAAAGACCTTCCCTAACAAACAGAAATTGAAAGAATTTATAACTACCCACGCAGCCCTACCAAAGATGTTAAAGCATATGATATACACAGAAACACAGAAACAGGGACATCACTATAAATGAAGGTGAAGGCAGAAAATCTCCCAATAAAAGTACAAAGGAAACGCAAAGCAAAAAAAATAGGTTTATTAATAAATATGTCAGAGTAAAGTCATTACTTAACAATAGTCACTCTGAATGTAAATGGCCTCAACTCTAGTTAAAGGATAGATTGTCTGGATTAAAAAAGAAATCCATCTATTTGGTGCCTACTCAAACACATCTCGCCACCAATACTCAAAGACTGACAGTGAGAGGATGGAAAAATATACTCCATGCTAACAGAAACCAAAAAAGAGCCTAGTACAGCCATCCTACTATCAGACAAAATAGAATTTAACACAAAAGCTATTAAAAGAGACAAAGAAGGGCACTATATAGTGATAAATGGATCAATTCAACAGGAAGATGTGACTATTATAAATGCATATGAACCTTATTACAGGGCACCTGGATATTTAAAAGAAATATTAAGGGACTTAAAGGGAGATAGACTTCAACACAATATTAATGGGGGACTTCAATACCCCACTTTCAGCAATGGACAGATCAACCAGACAGAACATTAGCAAGGAAACAGCAGAGTTAATCGACATTATAGACCAAATGGATCTAACAGATATCTACCGAACTTTCCATTGTACAACTACAGAGTACACATTCTTCTCAGCAGTGCATGGAACTTTCTCTAGGATTGACCACATACTAAGGCATAAAGCATGGGACCAAATTTTAGTTAGAAAATGAAACAGGGGACATGTGGATGATTCTGCCAACTAGTGACAACCTGAGTAACATTGACAAGCTCTGGACCAGTATCAGTTTTCTTGACTTGATTACTTCTAGTTAGTTCCATGTACATTTGTTGAAACCTTAGAATCTGGCTGATGTTATCCTAAATTCCTATATTTAATATTCAAAGCAACTCTTGAGTTCATGCTATTATTATCCACACTTTGCTAACCTTAGAACATTTAAGAAAGTTTCCCAAAATCACACAGTTAAAATATGCTATTGAAAAAAGCAAACATGATGGGCATTTACCCCAGGAGTTAAGTTGCCAGTAGGGAAACCTGCATCCCATATCAGAGTGAATGAATTTGTTGTCTGGTTCTGCTCCTGATTCCAGCTTCCTTGTGTAGACCCTAGGAGGTAGCAGGTGACAGCTTAAGCAGTTGAGTGCCTACCACCATTTGGGAGATGTGGATTATGTTCCTGGTGTGTGCCTTCAGATTGGTCCAGCTCCGCCTGTTACAGTCATTCAGCTTGCTCGCTCTCTCTCTCTCCCTGTCTCTCTCTCTCTTTCTTTCTCCTCCTCCCTCCCTCCCTCTGTCTACCTGTAAAACATAAATAAATAACTTTGAATAACATTTTAAAAAGCAAAAATAAATGCTTGCAAGAATTTGAATAAAAGAAAAACTCATACATTGTTGGTGGGAATGTAAATTAGTACAACCATTGTGGAGAATAGTAAGGCAGTTACTCAGAAACTAAAAATAGATTAGCCATATGATCCAGCTATCCTACTTTTGGGTACATATCCAAAAGAAATGAGATCAGTCTTTTAAGAGATACTTGCATGCTCATGTTTATTGCAACATTACTAATAAAAGCTAAGGTGTGGAATTAAATAAGGTATCTCTTGACAGATAAATGGATAAAGAGAATATAGTGTATACACACAATAGCATATTATCCAGCCATAAAAAGAATAAAATTCTGTCATTTGCATCAAAATGGAACTGAAGACATGTTAAATGAAATGAGCCAGATGCAGAAAGCCAAATACTGTTGAAGAAGTAAAGATTATTAACCAATTGGTTTTCAAATTAAAATTTGTCCTGGACTGCCCAAGGAAGCCAAATGTAATTATATGATTCCCCCAAAGCAGGGGTGTTTCTCAGGATGGTAGGAGAATGGGAAGTCCTAGGTGGGACAGATGAGAAAGATTTGACATAGTATTGCTCTTGCAGGTGAAAAAAGCCATGCGGCAAGGAAAGGAAGACCCCTGTCCTACAACTGTGAAAAACTGAATTCTATCAAATACCCGAACTAACTTGGGAGTAGAATCTTCCTTAGAGTCTCTAGATAAGAGAACCTAGCAGATACCTTAATTTCACCCTTATCAGGTTCTGAGCAGAGAATTCAGCTGGATCACGCTGTGTCTAGATTTCTGATCCACAGAATTCTGAAATAAAAAAAAGGTATTATTTTAAGCCACTAAGTTTTTGGAATTTGTGAACAGAGCATGGGAAACAAATACACTCATCAAGGCCCCAAAGTCTTGTACAATCTGCTCCTTAGCTGTGTCTCTAGCTCCATCTTGCAAGCACCTTTCTCACTGCCACACTCACTCCTATCCAATTGCAGTAAGTGGTGTGTGAAACTGTGGTCCCTGAAAATACATTTCCACGTCCTAGGTGCTGGTACCTACAAATGTGATCTTCTCTTTCAATTCATTTGCTAAGCTAATTCCTTCTCAGCTTAGTTGAAAATATCCTAGAAATCCTATTCATGACCACCCTCCTTCATTACTTTGTAATAATTAAGGCTTTTCTGTTTCATGTTCTCATAGTAACAAGTTCTTCGCTTCTTTCTCTTTTTTTTTTTTTTTTTGCAGTCCGAGTTCGACAGTGAGAGAGCGAGACAGAGAGAAAGGTCTTCCTTTTTCGTTGGTTCACCCCCCAAGTGGCCGCTACGGCCGGTGCATGCTGCACCAATCCAAAGCCAGGAGCCAGGTGCTTCCTCCTGGTCTCTCATGCAGGTGCAGGGCCCAAGGACCTGGGCCATCCTCCACTGCACTCCCAGGCCACAGCAGAGAGCTGGATTAGAAGAGGAGCAACTGGGACAGAATCTGGCACCCCAACCGGGACTAGAACCCAGGGTGCTGGCACCACAGGCAGAGGATTAGCCAAGTGAGCCAAGGCGCCGGCCAAGTTCTTTTCTAAACTTATTTGTGCAATTATTTGTTCCATGTGTTTTCTGTCTGATGGATTTTATGCTGTATGATAAAAGCTTTCTTTTCTGTATTGCTAACCCAGTGTGCTACTTGTAACAAAGAAGGTTGACAACAAATATCTGTTGAATGGATACATGCATATTTCTTCAGGTTCCTTCTCTATTTGGGAATACCAGAGGTATGAATCTCATGCAATGGTTATTGGAAATTTTTTTATATGATCTTATTCCAGACATCCAGTTTTAATACCATTTCTATAAGTGCCAACTTCCCATTAATACTCAAACTAAAGAGATGAATAATGATGTGGACCTAAAATGGGAAATGTTTGGGGCTGGTATTATGGTGGGTTAAATCATTGCCTGTGATGTTGGCATCCCATAAAGGAGCACCACTTCAAGTCCCAGGTGCTCCACTTCCCATTTAACTCCCTACTGATGTACCTGGAAAAGGTGGAAGATGGCCCAAGTACATGGAACCTGCCACCTATGTATGAGACCCAGATGGAATTTCAGGCTCCCAACTTTGGACTGGCCCAGACCTGGCTGTTGCAGCCATTTGGGGTAGTGAAGAGCAGATGAAAAATCTCTTTCTCTCTGTTTCTCCTTCCTGCTCTATCACGTTGCCTTTCAAATACATAAAATAAAATATTTTTATAAAATAGGAAATGTTGAAGATAAGAAGGGAATAGCTAGGATTCAGAGCTCCAGACTCTATCTCTTTAAATGCTTTCAGATTTATTTTCAAAAAGCAGCAGCTGGGAGGAGGAACATGATGCCTATCTGATGCCCACATAATTGTTCATTTCTGAGCAGACAGCCTGTGCTGTAAACATCAAGTTTTTTCTTTTTATTTGCTTCCCTCTTTTGTTTAGCTAAAAGTAATTATGTTTGCGTTAGATTAAGCATTGGCTTGTTCCTGTGCAGAACAATAGAAACTTTCCCCTCCCATCGTGTGTTCACTGTGTCATCCTGACAGTCGCACTCAGGAGCAATGCCATAGTCACTTTGCAGCCCTGTCCTGGAGCTGTGTCTGGAGAGACACTGAATTTCCCTTTGCAGAAAGGAAAGGGGGCTGGAAAGAAATTGGAAGGGGAGACTGGGGTTACTACAGCTAACAAGGACTAACAAAATCAAACAAAATATTGAAAAAAGGCTTATGATTTCACATTCCTAGAAGATTTCAGGGGAAGAACTAAATTCTTTCTTAGTCATCTAATGCAGCAGAAAAACAATTAAATTGTTTGTGATCTCAATCCTTTACTTCTGTTTACTGTGTTTTGTGGCCACTGGGTCCACAGGGATTTCTTCAGATGTATGAGTTCCTTACAACCTCCAATTTTCCTTGGATAGAATTTGGATAGGATTCCTCCCTGCCGTCAGACAGTAGAAACTAGGAAAGAATGGGGAGCCTCTGTAGGTAGATCTCAGAGAGGCATAGTCCAGAGAGCAGGGAGAGCTGTCAATGCCTCTGTCTTCCTGAAGCTTTGCAAAGACAGAGGAATGATTTTCTGCACCTGCACCAACCAAGCAGCAGTCATGTTGCTCCATAATCAAAATTCTACTGAAAACTGGAAGAACAAAACATGTCTATCCTTCTCCCCAAAGACGGTGTACATTGCTTTTCCTCATGGAGTTCATAGATAGTTTCTGAGCTACGAACCTGGTCAGAATGACTAGGCTTGTTGGTGCATGGGAGGTGACAGTGTGGAGACATATGGAAACAATAGAGCCTTGGAGATGTTTGGGTTAGAATTCAGGCTCTGTCATTTATCAATTGTGACAACATAAGCACATTATTTATTCCATTAGAGTTTTCCTCTATTATTAAGCCAATAGTAAGTGTTCACTTCTGGGGATGGTTGTGAGGCAGAAAAATGAGATAATGTAGGTACAGCATCAGCATAGTATCTGGTATAGAATCATCTTTCAAAAAGGAATGGCCAGAAAAATCCCTTAAAGCATTTTACTATTCTTGGCAGATTATGCCAGTAGCTAAAACAGCCCCACAATTTCCATTTATACAGGATTTCACAGTACATCCTATGTGTTACCAAATTATGTATTGTATATTGTTTTATCGGTAGAAATGTCATTTAAGGTAGGGACATAAAGATGTGCCTTATTTACATTGCTCCTCATTAATGAGTATGTTAAACAGAACAGAAGGCTTTGAGAACTATTTATTGATCACCTACTCTTGGCAGTCTAACACAAAATCTCCCTTGATCGTCACAATGACTTTGTGGAGAAGGTTTTATTGATATCCCCGTTTTACAGATATGAAAGTGGAGGCTGGGAGAGGTCAAATATTTTACATAATGATAAATGAGGAAGAAGTAATGATGGATTGAAGACAACATACCTGACATAGAGTGTTTGATCCTTCATTCTCTTTCCCTCTGTTATGAAAGGTACAAAGGTGAATTCTCAGGCCGGCGCCGCGGCTCAATAGGCTAATCCTCCGCCTAGCGGCGCCGGCACACCGGGTTCTAGTCCCGGTCGGGGTGCCGGATTCTGTCCCGGTTGCCCCTCTTCCAGGCCAGCCCTCTGCTGTGGCCAGGGAGTGCAGTGGAGGATGGCCCAGGTGCTTGGGCCCTGCACCCCACGGGAGACCAGGAAAAGCACCTGGCTCCTGGCTCCTGCCATCGGATCAGCGCGGTGCGCCGGCCGCAGCGCGCCGGCCGCGGCGGCCATTGGAGGGTGAACCAATGGCAAAGGAAGACCTTTCTCTCTGTCTCTCTCTCTCACTGTCCACTCCGCCTGTCAAAAAAAACCCAAAAAACAAAACAAAACAAAAAAAGGTGAATTCTCAAAGCAGGACAGAGGAAGATAGATGTATTCTTAATGCCTGTGAGTACGAGAAAATTGTCTTTTTCATCCAGAATAGAGACTTCCCAGAATGCTCCAAGAATTCACCTTCTCTCCTTAAATGATGGATTGTTACACCTTGAAGGTGGATGAAAAGGGTCCTACAGAGGAAGAAGGGAGTGAAGGCCCTGTGCGGAATGCACATTTCCTCTACTGGTGTTTTCTTCATGACAAGGCACGGAGCTGTGAGCTGTAGGTGTTATTGATTTACCTCTAGGGAAAACCTCTGGTTTATCTTCTTTTATAGCCCAGGAAACCTTTTGTTTATGAAATTATTGTGTATCTTTTAGCCACATGTTAAATCCAGAAACAAGGGGTTTGTGTGCAGAGTTTGAGTAATGGACTGACACGAGATAATTTCTCTTTGCTGACAGTATCCCATTAACCACCCAAACCCATACTCAGCCATTGTTCAGGGCACACTCAGTCTGTTTCGCAGGGAGTCATTGTAAGACATTGAGTTATAAAAGAGATATGCGTTCCTAAAGCCATAACAGATTGATACACTTGACAACTCGGTTTTAAAATTACTTTTTGTTCAGAATAATTTGAGATAATTCAGTTAAGATTTGTGTTGTTTCTCCCCGCTCTCTCCCTGTATAAAGCTGAATTCAGTAATGCTGAATGGTATCTTGCTATAAACCTACTAAGTTTTTTGGTTGCTTAGAAAACCCTTCCACTAATCGCCATGCCAATTTTTCATGGTTGGGGAATGTAAATAAGAACAAAACCCACAGTTCTTAGTGTACCTGTGATCTTGTAGGACAGATGTGGGGGTGGAGGTGAGATACAACTATAAACAAGATGCTCTCGCTTTCAAGATCTTATCATACAACTGACCAAGTCAGACATTCCTGTCAAATAAACCCAATGGACTAGTACGAAGATTGCAGGATCCATGAGATTCAACACATGGAATGAGTTGTCCACTGCTATATTCCCAATCTGGTATATAGTATACGATAAATAAATACGTATTCAATGACTGAATAAATTAATGGTTTAATAGGCAAATGAAGGGCATAGATAGCTTAATAGCAAAAGAAAAATTATAGGTGTTAGAACAAAAGGGAGAATTCTGGCTTCATTGTTTAGTAAGTGATTGGGGGATAGTCATTCTATTATTTCATATTTAAAGTGGATATATAATAATTTTCTTTCTGGTTTGTGATAACTCAATGAGAAACTCTTTGAAAAGAATCCTGAATGAATAAATATGTATGTATACATGTATGTATATATTTCTATATTTCCTCCCTTATTCTTTTAAGATTTATTTATGTATTTGAAATGCAGAGTTATAGAGAGGCCAAAGGCAGAGAGAGAGAGAGAGAGCTATTATTCCCAAAAGACAACCCAAAGAGGAAAAGAAGGATTTACAACTGGAGGAAGATAATTATATTTGCTCATGTGATGGCTGTTAAATGTTTTCTGTGCTATATCATTTTCTTGTGCAGACTTGCCTCTCTTTTACCCTCTATTTTAGTAGTATGATGGTAGATAATTTCTTCATCTCTGTTTTGTTCCATTCCAGGTTCCCCTTGTAACTCAGAAGTAGTCAATAGGAGCATTCCATCTTTTGGTCAATGACTTCAGCTAGGAGGTTAACAACTTTTATTGGGAAATTTTATGAAGTCACTAGAAAAGATGCATCCTGTTTCTCAGGTATTTGTGTAAGGGCAGATGAATTTTAGAAGCCTATCTGAAGATGAAAGACCCAGAGGCACTGAAAACATATACACACTTAAATAGGAGAGAAGGAAAAAAGGAGAGGAGGGTTAGGGAGAAGGGAACACTATGCTGAGACTGTTTGAACTTCTGGATCTAACTGTAAGGGTAACTTTGAATTTTAACCCATGACAGTCAAATAGGATACAAAGGAAAAATCCAGGGTCAAGAGTAAATGACTGGGCCAGCGCCGCGGCTCAATAGGCTAATCCTCTGCCTTGTGGCGCCGGCACACCAGGTTCTAGTCCCGGTCGGGGCGCCGAATTCTGTCCTGGTTGCCCCTCTTCCAGGCCAGCTCTCTGCTGTGGCCAGGGAGTGCAGTGGAGGATTGCCCAAGTGCCTGGGCCCTGCACCCCATGGGAGACCAGGATAAGTACTTGGCTCCTGCCATCAGATCAGCGCGGTATGCCGGCTGCAGCACGCCGGCCGCGGCGGCCATTGGAGGGTGAACCAACGGCAAAGGAAGACCTTTCTCTCTGTCTCTCTCTCTCACTGTCCACTCTGCCTGTCAAAAAAAAAAAAAAAAAAAAAGAATAAATGGATGGCAAAAAAAGGGGAGGTGTCTACTGCTGAAGTGAAGTCTACGGAGGAGCTCTGAGAGACAAAAGGGAGAAATTTTTCTTGAATAAATTCTAGGATAATCATTTCTTCTGATGATGAGAAAAAAGATAATAGCACAAAAAAGTACAGAGAAGTGTTAATGTGGAGAGAAATAAAATTGAAGAAATGGATATTAAATGGCTAAGATAACCTTCATATGGTAGGAAGAAATGCCTCCAATAATTTTTCAGAAAATCAACATGTTATATTGATTTTTTCATAAACTACATATGAGATATTGCTTTCATTATGATGCTGTTTTTGTGACTGGGTTATATAGGTGATTGATTACAAACAGTATGGAGAAATATGAAAAGAATATATGGCAAATCCTTGAAATGCAATCACACACACACACACACACACACATCTCGTGGGCATAGATGCATTTTCTGTTGCAGCCCTGCTCCTTGTGAATGTAGCCATGATTCAACCAAATTACTGGAATGTAGTCTACTTTGTTATCATTAATGATCCAATTCATGGTAATATTTTATGAACATGGTCCTTCTTGGTCTGTCAGTTTTTCTTTTTAAATTCTTTTTCACCTTATTCCTTCCTTGTGAATATTTACAGTGTGGTAGGCATGAGCACCACAAATTTGAACAATATCCATATGGTTTCTGTCATCACAGTGGTGAACAAACTGTTGGAAAGATTAAGAGAGATCCAAATACTTCAGGAGTCTGAAGTCTTGTATATATTTTACCAATTTTTTTTTTGACAGGCAGAGTGGACAGTGAGAGAGATAGAGAGAGAGACAAAGGTCTTCCTTTTGCCATTAGTGTACCCTCCAATGGCCACCACGGCTGGCACACTGCGGCCAGTGCATCAGTGCTGATCTGATGGCAGGAGCCAGGTGCTTCACCTGGTCTCCCATGGGGTGCAGGGCCCAAGCACTTGGGTCATCCTCCACTGCACTCCTGGGCCATAGCAGAGAGCTGGCCTGGAAGAGGGGCAACCGGGACAGAATTTGGCGCCCCGACCGGGACTAGAACCCGGTGTGCCGGCGCCGCAAGGCGTAGGATTAGCCTAGTGAGCCACAGTGCCGGCCTTTTACCAATGTTTTTAAAGAACTTTGCTTATTCATAAATTGTCAAGACAGAATCAGCTGTGCTTATTTTTATAGAAATATGGAAGTTGATTTTGTCCATCAAGCTTGATCATTTTTAGGGATAAACCTTTAGAGAGAAGTCAGTCTTTTAGAATAGTGTGATTGACCAGAATGCATTCAGCTTTCTTTTATTTAACTGAAGATTAATAATTATATTTTAGTATATACCATTTACTTTGCTACTCTATCTCCACTTGACAAGTATTCATTGAGCAAAAGCTTTATTTGATTTGTATGTGTGTGTGTTGTGTGTGTTTTGTGATGGGTGAAGGACATTAAATTATTTGCAATGATTTCTTAATCTTCCTGAAAGGTTTTGTCACAGGGCAGGAGTTCACTGTGTGGGTGAGCTGGAGGGATATTAGCCCCTGGAGAGGTTACACAAACTATTGCACCAAACTACAAACTAGCAGTGGGAATGTAATGGAGAATTGAAAAGGAAAATATTTCATGTACTTTGCCTTGTCATGTTAAAGAATGTACTACTCCCTGTAGGGTTTAAATTTCAACAATGGCTGGCATGAAAAGATATACAAGCATTGCTCAATATATTTAATTCAGCCTGTGCTTATATAACACCTAAAACGGGTCTGCTCAGAAGTTTGATTCAGCTAAAGAAAAGTTCTTTCTGTTCCCTTATCTGCTTTGAACTTCAGTCATGGTTGGCTGTGTTGTCTACCTCATTCATGGGTGACTTGGAACATCACAGACATAACCAAGGCTTCTGTGCATGAAGGTCTTCAAAAAGTTCATGGAAAATTGGCATTACAAAACAATCTATGCATGGATTCATTATTTGCACCAAAATAAACTTATCTTTTACCCTGGTAGTATGACTGTTTATTTGCCATTAAATTCATCTAGTTTAGTTTTACTATTTGGAGAAAAACACAGTTGGTATGGAATTATCTTCTCTCTTATTTGCCATTTTATTTATATGTCTATTTGGATATAGAAAACAAGGATAGGAAAAAAATAACTGGCTGTCATATTTTGTAAATCATATCACTCTGTTCTTATTTTAGCAACTGACATTCAAACCCATACATTATTCCCTTCTCCAAAAGTTACTGGTTTATTCTGTTAACAGAAAATCAACATTGCTCAAAGGAAAGAATACTTGAACTGGGGATCAGAAACCTGATTTTCATTTCACCTGCTATAATCATAATATGTATAGCCTTGAGTTTTCAGTTAACCTTTCTACATCATGTAATTTTATAAAACAAGGACAGTAATAGGAACACATTCTTTTCAGATCACATTCTGAATCAAATGAGATAAATTATGTGACAGTATTTTGTATGTTTATATAGTACTGTAAGAGTGAAAATTATGATTATGGTAGTGAATGCCTATACCATTTCTTCCACACACTTCTTGCTTGAGATCTCAGAACTGTCTCTAGAGTCACATTTTATGGGAATAACTGAGCATCAATATTCTATGCTTACTATAAAGAAAAGTTCTACCTTGTTTCTCTCACTAAGTATAGTTCATCGTCTTGTCTGTCAGCAAAATGATTTTAAGACACACAGTGTTATAAAGCCTCATCTACATGCATTTTATTATAGGTCCATTATTAAACACAGGGATTCCTTTATTTCAAATAGATGCAGAGTAAACTAGATGCAGAGTAAAAAGCAGCAGGTTTTGTAAAAATTTCTGTATTTTATTGTTGTTTAAACCTGGGTGTTGATATTTACTTAAAGAAAAAAAGGTCCTAATTGATTTAATGTCTATTTGAGTGTATTTTTAAAATCTTCTTTTGGCATATAATTTTAGTTCTTTTGACATATCTTGCATTATTCAATAGAGTATTTAATAGTAATTTAATTTTTACTTTATCACATATAATTTTTAAGTGATCCAAAGATCTTCAAAAATGCAATTTTAAAGAGAAATTATGTGAGTATTGTGAAGTAAAGAATGGTCAGAAAAACTGTGTCTAAATAGCAGTGATTGTGAAAGAACATAAATTTCAGCAAAGTTAACATAAGAATACGTTTCTGAAGGTGTTCATCTTGGGATATGGACCAACTTGGTGACGGTCAAGCTTGAAAGACAGTATAGTCAGGGCTGGCACCGTGGCTCACTTGGTTAATCCTCCACCTGCAGCTCTGGCATCCCATATGGACACCGGATTCTAGTCCTGGTTGCTCCTCTTCCAGTCCAGCTCTCTGCTGTGGCCCACGAGGGCAGTGGAGGATGGCCCAAGTGCTTGGGCCCCTGCACCTGTGTAGAAGACCCAGAAGACGCTCTTCGCTCCTGGCTTCAGATCGGTGCAGCTCTGGCCCTTGCAGCCAATGGGGAGTGAACCAATGGAAGGAAGACCTTTCTTTCTCTCTCTCACACTCTATAACTCTACCTGTCAAATAAATAAAATAAAATAAAATAAAATAAAATAAAATAAAATAAAATATAGTGTATTTCTATGGAGTTCTGCTGGATACCACATGGCCATAAATCTCTTAGTTTCCTTTGAGTTCAGCTGTTCTCTAGTTTCACTCTATATTGTATAATCATAATACTTTACCATGAAATAGGTGAGGTTGAGTGATGAGTGGAAAGGTGTTATGGCTTGCATCAATAAAATTACCCTTTTAGCATGTAATCCTCACATTTTATGATTGAATATGCATAAATGTATTCATATGTACAGATGGGGTAAGAAGCTTATTTATTGGATTTCACTTTGAGAAATCTCCTTGAAAAGGTTAAATTCAAAGCATTGACAATGAAGTAATGCGGCTGGTACTCATATATTGCAAGTAAAATATAAGTTACTATAAACACTTTAAAAATTGTTGGTAGGTATCTAATAAAATTTAACATTCATAGGCTTTGTAGTCAAGATTTCTTTTTTTAGAGATTTATTTGAGAAGTAGAGTTACAGAGAGAGAGAAGGAGGGGGGAGAGAGAGAGAGAGAGAGAGAATCTTCCATCTTCTGGTTCACTCCCAAATGGCTGCAATGGCATGGCTGTGCCAGGTCAATGTCAGAATCCAGGAGCTTCTTCCACATCTCCCATGTGGGTGCAGGGGCCTAGGGACTTGGGCCATCTTCTGCTGCTTTTCTAGGTGCATTAGCAGGGGACTGGAGTGGAAGTGAAGCAGCCAGGACTTGAACTGGTGCCTATGGAATGCCAGCACTGCAGGCTGCAGTTTAACTTGCTGTTCCATGGTGTCAGGCCCAGTAGTCAAGATTTCTAGCTTTTAGGAATATACCTAACAGAAATTTGTACATATATGCACCAAAAGATGTATATAAGAATATCCATGTTAACATTATTATTAATACTACCAAACTAGAGGCTCATATGTCCCTAAATAGTAGACTGGATACATAAATTGTGACATATGTATTTAATGATGAATAATATGGAATGTATAATGATGCATGATGAAAATGTATAATGTAGCTATAAACTCCAACCAGCATGGAGAGCACAAGTGTAATGCTGAGTGAAAGAAGCTAGCTGTAAAAATATCATTAATGAGTCCATTTATGTATTTATTGAATTTTTTTAACAAAATGAATTTGTCTTTGAATTCCATTTTCCCAATTACTTTAAAAAAATTTTTATTTGAGAAGCAGAGCAACACAGAGAGACAGAGAAGAATAGAGAGAGAGAGGAGAGAAAGAGAGAGGGAGAGAGAGAGAGAGAATGAAAGAGAGAGAGAAACTCTAATCTGCTGGTTCATTACAAATGCCTGCAAATGGGCCATGCTGAGGTCAGGGGCCAATAACTCAATTGGTTCTCCCACATGGAGGCAGGAACTCAGTTATTTGAGCAATTACATAGTGCTTCCCAGGGTCTGAATTAGCAGGGATCTGGAGTCAAGAATGGAGCTGGTATTTGAACCAAGTACTCTGTTAAAAAATATGGGTGTCTTTGCTAGGCTCCTTAACCACTAAACAAATGCTTGCTCCTGTACCCCCATTTATATTTTAAAAACTGATAAAACTCTTATCTATGGTGATAGAAGTCAGAACATGATTACTTTGTTGAAAGAGGATAGCTTTGAGGAGGCATGAGGAAGCTTCTGAAATACTGGTAATATTTTATCTCTAAGTCTAGGTGATAGTTACACTAGTGTGTGAACTTTATGATCATTTATTTAATGAAACACTTATAATTAAGGCACATTCCTGTAAACACATTCTACTTCAAAATGTTACAGTAAAAATAATATTCTGCTAAAAATCAACCAGAACATCAATCAAATGTCAAAGTAGAATAAAGACCCATTTTAAAAGTCACACACAGAATTTTACAGATAAATCCTAGAAAATTGGGGGATTAGGCTAAGAATCATGAAGATGTAGAATATATGAAGAGAATCTAGTTTGAAAAGAAAAAGTAAGGGAAATTCAGTCTGACAATTGTGAGGAAACCAAGAGCACAGGAGTCCTAGTTGAGCTAGAGGGAAGATGGTTCTGGGATGGTATTTAAGAGCCTTGATATCATCCCAGAGAAAAGGAAGAATTTAAGGATTCAGTAAGGCAAACAATGCAAGAAAAGAATAAAGGCCAATACAGAAATATCAACATAAGCAAAAGGTAGTATAAGACAGAAAATAAAACCACAGAATTTTTCTTGGCTCTGCCACAAGTGATATTTGCACAGTTACAGTGATATAGACCATGTTTATTAGTATCCAAATCTCAAGGCTTAAATGTTGATTTCAGAACAGACCTCAAAGTTATTTTTGAAATGTAAAAATAAAATTATGGGTGATAGAATCACAGTGGTAGAAACATGCATGAGGAGTGAGAAAATTGATGGGAACACAGCCCTTGATTTTAAAAACGCGTTTGCCATGATGTGGCTATGGCTGACTGGTTAAACTTGAAATATTGGAGTGCATTATTTAAAGTCAAAAGAAATAGCCAGTAAAAAGACTAAAAACACTTATCTCTAGGTAGAGGGATATAACAGGAAAATGGGCTATCGGTAAGCTAAATCTTCATCTATTGTATTAGGAAGTCAAACAATAACTTCATTACATTGATGAATCAAGAAATAGTAGAGTGAGTGAATAATTAAGAGAGACAAAGATCTCAGTAAGGAACTGAGCACTTGAGAGTTATAAGTGGTTACTTTTGAGGTTGTGCATTTGGCCTAGTGGTTAAGCTCCTATCTGGGATGCTATATCCTATTTTGGAGTGCCTGGGGTAGAGTCCTGACTCTGCTCCCAGTTCCAGCTTCCGCCCATGTGCACCCTTGGAGGCAAGAGATGATGGCCCAAGTACTTGAGACTCTGCCAACCACATGGGAGACTCAGACTGAATTTCTGAATCTTGGCTTTGGCCTGGTACATTCTGAGGCCATTTCAGCATTTGGGAAGGAAACCAGCAGATGGAAATTCTGTCTGTATGTCTTTCTGTCTCTGTTTGTTTGCCTCTAAAACAGTGGTTACTTCTAGAAAGTAAGACTAGGAGTAGGGCATAGATGTTTCTCCTACGAACTCTTCTGTACCCTTGACTACTAAAATTAAGCGCAGTAACATTATCAAAAAAAACTAGTGTAGTACATTTTAAAGGGTCCTTGAAGCCAATGATTTTATTTAAATATTTTGTTTAAAACTTACCAGAATTGCATATATGTAAAATATATGTTTATGATTCTTGGCGTAACAGACTACCACAGATTTAGTGATTCAAAAGCAACCCAACTTCATTACCGTCATTATCTTACAGCTTTAGGTTAAAGTCCAATACTGGGCTCACCACATCAAGGTGGTGTCAGAGTTGTGCCTGTTCTGGCACAACTTTTTCAAATTCCAGGACCTACTCACCTTTCTTGGCTCTTGGACCCCTGAATTCATTTTCAAAGCCATGAATGCTACATTTTTTTGACCCTTCTTCTATCACCTCTCTCTCTCTCTCTCTCTGACCAATGATGGTCAGAAAAGTTCTCTAACATAAAGAATTCTTGATTTGATCAGTTCCACCAGGAAAATCCAGGATAATCATTCTGTCTCAAGATTAATAACTTTAATAAAATCTTTTTTTTTGCCATGTAAATAAACATATTCACTGGTTCTGGGAATTAAGGCATGGACATCTTTGGGGCCATTATTCTCCCTGCAAAAAAGTTAATACTCAACTGTGCCAAAAGTTATTTACAACTCTACCATACCAGTGTGTCTCAGAATAAAATATTAACTCCTAATTAAAAAATCAAGGTCATGAAAATAAAGCCAACTTAGTGATAGAACTTTTTCAATCCTTCCTCTGCTCCCTGTCCAGGAAAGAGAGATCTACACATCTTTCTCAAGAGCTTTTGGGTTGTGCCTGTGGAGCGTATTTTAGCTGGGTGGCTTCTGATGGCACAGAATGAACATACACTCGGTAGAAGGAGGCACAAAGTTGTCAGATCTTATGGAGAGAGCCTAAGAGTAGAAGTGGGTGTGAGTGAAGATTTCTACCTGTGGAATTATCCTGTTCCCAAGAGTATGTAGCACCTCAGATGCTTTTGGATATCTTGGGCATTATATATATGATACAAAATACACAGTAGTTTGGAAAGTAGTAGGGATTATCCTGATGGAGCTTGGAGGGACTCTGAGGCTAAACCACTCTGGGTATTCCTGAACTTACCCAAACTGTATCCAATGAGATTTAGAACTGGTGCCTGGAAGCAGGTACAGGTTATGAATGATGGATAGCCAAGGAATATGGCCTTGAGCTGAGAATGCAGACCCTGTCTTATACTCCATTATGAACATTTAGGATTCTTAAATATTTTATAGAATAAGAAAGAGAGACGCCACAATATTTATCCCCAGTTAGGTAATGAGGGGATAATAAATAAACATGATAGGAAGAAGCAAAGGAATATGTTAATTTGTATGCCTTCCTATAATGCACTAAGATTTATATCCCATTCATATCATTTGTATTTATCCAATGTAAGTGCCTACTAATCACTTCCAGTACCAGAACAAAATGAATATTTTTACACCTCTGTACTTTCACTGTTCCTGTTTCCTACAATGTCATTCCTGTCTTCCACTTAGTCTTCAAATGTCAACTCAATAAAGACTTTCTGACTTAACCCAATTTGTTGTGTACCCTTTGCTCTGATGTCTTGGGGCATTGAACTATAATTCTGGACCCTGTTATAATACTCGCTACATTATACCAGAGATTGTCCCCAGACAGAATTAATTAATTGCTAATGAGAAATTCAGGACTCATAGGAGACACCTATGTAAATATTTAAGGACTCTCATTTATTTTGAGTCCTTCTTATATAGAACCAGAAGCACCAAATTTATCCAAGGACAGTAGATTATCCTTTTAGAATGATGTATAGCATATTTAGGCCATGTGATTCTTCCAGACCTCTAAATACAGTATTTGATGATAATTTCTAATTTCCTTCCATGAATCTATCTAGAACTGTGCCAGGCTGGCAGGAGGTACTATGGAACGGATTGCCTTTCTTACTGGAAAAAATCTAGAACTTCCATTTTGTAAATGTACCAAAAAACGTAGAAGTCTGAAAACCACAGCAGTTCAGTGAGCAAACAAACAGCCATAAGTGGCTGCCAAATGTTTGGAAACTGGTAAAACTTTCTTGTGAGAAATGCTTCCTTCACCTCTTCATTAAGCAAAGAAACCCCAAATGACTAGGAAGATTCAGATGACATCTGGTTCTCTTCTCATAAAAGCCACTACTTCAGGGGAAGCAAGTCAGATTTGTAGGTCATTTTGCATTATTTCTCTGGAACTTACTCTGTGTGCATCACTGAACTATTTTTTAAAAACTGTGATTCAAAATTCTCTGTAAAAAGAGAATTTCAAACAAGACTATTGTGATGTTTAATGGGATAGCAACTGAGATTTCTGTTCTATGGCTCCATTTATCATATCATTTTAACATGTTATTTGACCTATCTTGGATAGGCTGTGTCTTGCACTATCTAACATAATGAGCACACATGTATGTGCATGTGTGTGTGTGCAAGAAACTAATATTTTATTGGCCACCTATTATATCTTAGCCACTTGTTAGATATGGGTAGAAAGCCAAATGAGTAAGATTTGTCAGCTTTTCTCAAGATCCTTGAACTTTAGTTGAAGAAACAAAGTATACATAAGTAAAATTAAGTCATCCAAAATTTAAATATCAATATGAGAAACACAATAAACATGCTTGATAAAAATAGTTTGGGTGCTGTAGATTCACTGCTGTTATCAGTAGCATTAAAAATAAGACACTGGGACATAAGAAGGCCCTAAAGTAGACATTTTGAGGATATTGAAGACTATTCTGCTTAAACTGAATGATTAAATCTCTAAAGTATTAACTAACTCAAGGAAATAAGTTTCATTGTATGTCATTGATTCTTATAAAGTAAAAGCTTGATTAGTCAAAATGGACTAGCAATGAGCTCCTAGTTGGATTTCTAGACTACTGAGGGTTAAGTTAATTATCATTTTCACTACAGCTCTTGCTGAAACTACTTTTACATTTTCACATTTATTTTCCTGCTTATACATTATAATATTATTGAAAATAATGGACTCTGATGGTAAGAAATTGTAGGATATCATGGAATAGCAAAATGGCAGAATATGGAGAAAGACAATGAGTAACCTGGAACATTCTGAAAATATTCTTGGGAGATGCTAAATTACACACAGGACTTTTGGTTTTTGTCTCATTGTGTTTGCAGCATCTTTGTGATTCCTTTCTATAGAGTGAGAAAATACTCCAGTTCACTGAAAGCCATGCCTACCTAGGTTCCTATAAGTCAGTATTTTTTTCCATCTGGTAGGTAAGGTGTCTATAGAAAATGTTCTCCATCTTACACCAAACTGCTTGAATTTAGAGATGAAAAATTTTAAAAATGCAATAAACCTGCTCTAGCTTTCAATGCCAACTGCAGAGATCAATATCTTTTGTATAGAACAATGGGAGCATTTGTTAAGAAATTACTTTGCCCCTCAGTCCTAGGGAGAGAATAAAGATTCATGTTTTGTGTTTATGCGAAAATTCTCTCCACAGGTAGTAACAGTCCATTATAAACTCCATGTGAGCTGTGTTCTATATACTGTGTGCTGTATTTGTAACTTTAAAGTGTGAGGCTGGTTCCTCTAAGCCCCTTCCTCAGAATTTATTGGTATAGACATATTCATTTTGGAGCTTAGGAGGCTTCTTGGAAAGTAATTCAAGTAGGGTCAATACCTGGAATGCAAATCTACAATGGCATCACTGGTTGACTGCACAGGACATCAAGGAGGCTGAATTGCCATGGTGAACTCTAGGCCAGTGGGAAAGAATCAACTCTGAGTGAGGATAAACATTAATTCAGCCACAGACTTGAAGGGCTGGAGAAATATTGGTGGTACTGAGTAAAATATGGTGACTGTATCTTAAATGTGTGCTAACCTTTGGTGGAGAAGATTGTATATATTGAGCATAGGTCTAGTAGATAGTCATACACCATATAATAGTGTTTTGGACAATGACAGACTACATATATAACCCTGGCCCCATAAGATTATAATGGAATTGAAAAATTCTTATTGCCTAATGATAGCACAACCACTGTAAATTTGTAGCACTATGAATTATGTATGTGTTTGTGGCAATGTTGAAGTAAACAAGTCTACTGTAATGTCAGTTGTATGAAAGTATAGCACACACAACTATGTACCCTACATAAAACTTGATCATGAGACTATGACACTGGCTTTTGTACTTACTATCCCATTACCTTTTATCGTTATTTTAGAGTAGACTCTTGCTTTTTATATTTTTAAAAGGTTAACCTTGAAATAGTGTGCCATATTACACCAGTATCATGTTTGTCATATTACATCCATATCATGTTTGCTGTGTCTCTTGATTGTCCAAAGAGACCACATTGGGTAATTGACTAAGCCATCTAGGTTTGTGCAGGTGCACTCTGTGTTTGAACAATGTTGAAATAGTCTGGAAACAATTTCTTTTTTTACAGTGTAAAGTTGGCTTTTATTCTACTGATTAAAAATTTGTAAACAACAAATATTAAAACAGAATGCCAAAAAGATAGATAATATATGAAGGGAAAAAGTAAGAACAAAGGTATGGGTAATCTGCATCTAATTAATCTGATATTTTGAGTTAAATGTTTTGACATACAGGTTTTCTCACTCCTTGAATAGGCTACTAAACATACTTGACTTCCTTTTAAAAATAAATTTTATTTATATAAAGAGAACAAATTTCATGTATTTCATATATACAGTTTTAAGAACATAATGATATTAGAAATTATCCTTGTCATTTAGCAAGGAATGACTACATGTGAATATAAAAATAATATAAACATACATATGTTCCTAATCTTATCCTCCTTATCTCTCCCCGAGAGTGAGAGCATTCACTTTTTCAACTTCTTTCCATTTTCTACC